CGTGGTTTGAGAGAGACTTGGCGATTTGAGGGGATTGTATGTTCGACCGTTGGCCAGTTTGGGCGTGCGGTAGAAACAAAAGTCGAACCATCTCCTCAATTCATCACCTCCATCACAATTAAGCTCCTGATAGGCACATGTATTCAACTTTTACATTCGCCAAAGCCAGTTGACGTCTTAAAGGTCGTCTAACCTTGGGCAAAATGAAAGAAATGTACCACATGAAGCGTGGCCATATGCCAAAATCCAGCCCATCTCGTCTTGACGCTATCCCTCCTGGCTCGGTCATATCGCACAGGTCTACCGGCCGGCTCGCACACATCTGTATGTATGTAGTTGTGTGTGTGTGTGTGTGTGTACATACAGAGCCCGTCTTCTGGCTTGGTCGGCATAACAGCCGGGTCTTCAGTGAGTCACCTCGCGCACGGGGGGCCGGGGGTCTGTAAGGCGGGTCCTGGCTCAAGTCTCCTGTAGCAGGCGCTTCTTCCAGCGCCTAGTGGCCTCGACGATCCCGAAGCTTCGGCCTCTGTCTCCGGTCCTCGTAGCTGTTGCTGCCTCTCTCGCTCCTTATCGGGGCACAGGCAGTTGTGGCACAACCTCTCGGTCGGTGCTGGTGCAAGCGAGGTTCCGGTACCCGTTGGACTGACTCACTGCCAGAGGCACTTTCGGCCACTTTTCGAGGCATCCCGTCTCTTTGGCCAACCTGACCAATCGCTCAGATCTGGCACCTCCACCACCCGGTTCAGTTATCTTTTCCTCCTCCACTTGGTGTACTACCTAATTCCACCTATTTTGGCCACATCCTTCCAGTCCCTCGGTCCGTCTCGTCCACATGAACACAAACTGTATACACTAACCTCTCTCCCCAAAACCAAAAATGTCCCTCGTTCAGGCGATCCAAGGTCTACCTGTCAGCCTACACTGACCTAATCTATATTTCGCATAAGGCTGAAGATGCTGATGATGATGAAGATAATAATGTTGAAGATAATGAAAACGAAGAAAAAGAAGAAGATGATGAGGTTAATGCTGGCGTTGGTGTTGATGATGAAAATGATGATGACGATTAAAATAATAACGCTGATGGCGGGAAGATAAGAGTTAAGGTAAGGAAGAAGAATGGAGTGATTATGATGCTGATGTGGATGATAATGAAGAAGAAGATGAAGAATATGATGACGGAGATGAAAGTAATAACGCGGATGTGGGGAGGATGAGTTTGATGCTAAGTAAGAAGAGCGAGATGTTGATCTAATGATGATGAAGTAGATGGTGATAAAGGAGATGAAGATGATAACACTGATGAAGTTGTTGATGAGGATGATGGTGATGACGGTAATGATGAAGGAGAAGAGGGAGATGATGGCATAGTTGATGCTGAAGAAGATGCAAAGACGACTGTTGATTGTTTTAGCTTGGACTATTGTGTTGTTAGTGACCGTTCAGTTAAGGTGGAATCCATTTCGCTGTAGATCACGGAATGACTACGGAATGATTATACGAAGAGTAATTGTGTCTTACGTTCTTAATGGACTAAAGGGGGAGAGTCACAAAAGTAGCCCACTTTTTTCGGTATTAGCCACGAATAAAAAGACAATATGGAGGCTCTCTTCAAATCAGGCTGTACCAAAATAGTGTTGTGCAGACTCTTCCCTCAATTTGCCCAAAGGATAAGGGAGATCAAAAGTACTTGAAGCTGGAGATAAAGAAGGAATGTCCTCAAACTGAGGATGTGTGAGAACTAAGAGAAGAATACACTGAAGGTAGGGAATTAAGGTAGAGTGTTAAATCGCTGGCTCAACCTGTCGCCTTGCTTATCCTTGCCATTATCCCCACAATATGCACACATCTGATTTCACACAACAGGCTTATCCTAATGATCCATCTGCCTGAGTTTAAAAGCAGAATAGAAACTTGATGCATATAAACCCACACATTTATGGGCTACACACGCATACCTCGACAAGAGAGTTAACTAAAAAATCCTCATTGTGTGAAAATGCAGCAGGTACTCGAGTCAATTAATTAGGTACAAAAAGTTCAATCGGTCCTGTTTACATTCATTTTACCGTGGATTTTGATTGTATTTTTTATTTTCTTCTTTGCTCCATATGCACACAAAATTATGCATTATTCCGTCTATTTCATGCCTTACTTGTTTACAATTTCTTGGAATATATATGCTATGAAGTATTTGGCCTATTAGGTTCCTCGAATCTTTGTATGCTGGATACGGATAAAAGAAATATTTTTGTGTCTGATATCCAGATGTAAGCTCTGAACCTGTTTAACGCAACCCAGAATAGAATCGGCTGAAAGTGTAGTTCGCTCTCGAGCCAGAAGCCTCAAGTGAATCCCCCTTGGCCCTGCGTCCATTGTCTGCTCTGGAACCTAAATGTTCGTCTATCATGCCACTTGGCAGGCAAATTCAGAAAACTGACCGACTAACCCTTCATTCCTCTATACTCACAACACAACTCAATTGGCTGTAGGTATAGAACTGCTCGATTATATCGTTGACCTATCAATCTATATTGATGAAGATCTATGCGCTTGTGTGCGCATGCATGTACCTATGTGCGGACATTCAAAAGCAAAGTGTCGAGTAGTTCCCCTAAGTTCCTCAAGGTTTGCTGACCTTTGATGTTGTGGTACCTTTCATTTGGTTTGAAAAGGCGATGGGAAGATATGCGTTGGTTTCACTCTAAACCGAATGAGAGTCGCCTTGAAGCTGGGACTGTAGAGTTTTGCGAATAAGTCCCCAGCTCACAGCTCCAAGACAACCGTCTTTCGAATTCGGATGAGAGCAACCAACGCATTCCTCTTGCTGGCCACTTCAAACGAAATGAAAGGTACCTAAACATCAATCTCTAAAGGAATTCTTTAAAATTCAGTTTTGGGCCTTTCGATCAGAAGAGATTAATCGCGACGATTGTGCAATGCTGGAAACCAGCTCGGCTGAGTTGTATGGTTTTCACAATTAAAGTGTGAAAAATTGTTTCTTAAATTGAACGAAACTTTCGGAGTTAGTTAAGTCAGCCTCCTCTTCTGACCTCAAGCCTACCCATCAATCATGAAAATTTCTTGTTCACTTACTTGACCTCATTTCTAACTCTTAAAGTACTTCTCTATCCGTTGATTTGAATGGCTCCTCCAATTTTGCGTCTACAGAACAAACCACGAAAAAAACCACAAGCTGTCGAAGAGTGCTATGCCCAGTTTCCATTAAGTGCGATGCAATTTCTTCCACTTCTGGCCTCTAGACCCAACAACCTATAGCATAAATGTCGCTTTGTTTTCCTGTGTCCGCAAATTGATACATACACACACACACACTCACCAGTGTACATAAAACAAGGAGATAACTAAATATTTCTATACCTGCCATTAGTTAAGTTGTTTTTAGAAACAAATGTTTATCCTTTAAATGTAGTTTGCCCGTGAACTTCTTTCCGTTTACCTGATCTTCATTATATTTCATAATTTGTAGATTGTAATTTTTCCCAAAATGATAAGTTCAAGACCTCGACTTCTGGGTCAATCTGGTTATATTAGAACAAAACGTCTTCTGACCAGATAGCCGCACAAGTCTCTTCTTTGTTCAGCCAATAAACACAAAGAACCGTCATTTTTCATTCCACCTAAAAGGAAGTATCATGCTAGGCGCTTGCTGAAATCGTGAATTTGACTGAGAAGATGATGCGGCCGATACTCCTCAAGTTCGGCATGTATAAAACGGACAGAGATTCAAGCAAAGCAAGATGAATATAAAACACAAAATCCGTTATTATGTTAAAGTTTGAATATAGGATTGCTGAACTCATTTTCATTTCAAACTAAAGTACTTGATGAAGACAGCTGAGCTCGAGCTCGCCATTCGAACCTTCTGGCTGACGCAGTCCTCGAGACAACTTCGTCCGGTTATGGTGAAAGCCTACCAAGCCTTTGACTGACCTGCAACTTGACCCAAATCCTCAGAACAGGGCATCATTAATAGAAATTAAAGCAACGTCAAGATTAATGTAGGGGTACCAAACGAGGCTGTCTCTGGTACCAATAAATCGTCTACCGCTTCTGACAATCAGGATTCAGCGATACTACGCTCATCAATTTTATCTCTCCTCTTTGCCAGGTCAAGTATCAACTCACCTGACTCTGCTTTTGTTGGATCAACTTCAACACATTCTCCGTCCTGTTGTAGTCCTTCGCGCTGCTGTCCGTGAACACGTAGATCAGACTGTTGGGCCTTGAGGCCTTCAAGGCCATTTCGATGCCGGTTATCGTCATCTCGGGACAGTCGCCACCGCCTTGGGTGTACACGCTGTCCAGGTACTGGTAGAAGGTCTTGGTCGAGGTGGTCACCTTAGCTGGGCCAACATCTGAAATGTGGGCAAAAAGTGTTGAATAAAATATATTCGAGCGTAAAATTCTTAAAAGTTGTTTGACCTCCTTTTCACAACTCGGTCACATTGGTAGGAAGACTTAGAGAAACGCACCTTGTCCTGAGTCCATTGCATGCATCATCATTTCCAAAGTCAGACGAGTTGTTGTGTAATGCTAAGAATGGCGATGCGCACTGACGATACCGACTAAGATGCCGGCGAAACGTTTGGAAATGTACCACGTCCACGGTCCGACTTTGGAAATGATCATGCAGACAATGGACTCCGGACAAGGTGCGTTCCTCTAATTCTTTCTACCAATAT